GCCGGTTGAGCTATAGGCGCCGAGCCTCAAATACTATTGTGTTATGACTACTTATACTATTTGGTACAACAGCATGGTGTAGGAATTAACTGTAAAATGTAGCATAGGAGCAATTGAATATACCATAAAGTTTGGGTGTGTGGTGGGCTGTACCATCCAGGCTTATATAAATATACTCTATAATGTTTGCATGATGATGCATTTCCCAGAACTTATCCCATAGTTATGTGATTCATGACTGTATATTACTATTATAATCACAATTTATATTGGTATTTACTGATGCTATTGCTTTAAGCACATGATTTTAACACTTTATTCATTATCCACTCAGCCATCAAGTAGCTTCTACTCTGTATGATCATCAGTAAGAGTATGCATGAGTTTCCCAAACAGGTGTTTTAAAACAACAACAACAATATATTCTCTCACTGTTACGGGGGCTAGGAAACTGAAAGGTATTAGTAGGGACAGCTCTGAGACATTGGATAGAATCGTTTGTTTTTGCTGCTTGGCATCTTGGGATGGCCATCAATACTTGGCATTCCTTGGTCAACAGCTAGATCACTCTAATCTCTGCCTCTGTCATCACGTGGTATTCTCACTGTATATCTCTGTCTTCATATGGTGTTTTTTTCTTCTTACAAAGACACCAGTTGGCTTGGCGCCTGTAGCTCAGCGGCTAGGGTACCAGCCACATACACCAGAGCTGGTGGGTTCAAACCCAGCCTGGGCCTGCCAAACAACAATGACAACAGCAACAAAAATAAAAACCAGGCGTTGTGATGGGTGCCTATATTCCCAGGTACTTGGGAGGCTGAGGCAAGAGAATTGCTTAAGCCCAAGAGTTTGAGGTTGTTGTGAGCTGTGATGCCACAGCACCTTACCCGGGGTGACAGCTTGAAACTCTGTCTCAAAAATAAATAAATAAATAAAGACACCAGTCATTGGATTAGGGCCTACCTTAATAACTTCATCTTAACTTGATCACATTTACAAAGATTTTATTTCCAAATAAGGTCATATTCACAGGTACCAGGAGTTAGGACTTCAGTATATGTTTTGGGGGGATATAATTCTCTAACTTTGAGATCATGGAGTAGAAGCTTCATCTTAATGATAACATGACTAAATTTAATAACTTTTATGGAAGTTTCATGATATATTTCTCTGTCTTTAAAAAATAATGTCCCCTTCCCTATTATATTATAATCTCTGAAGGTATAATTGAACACTCACATATGCATTTTATCTTCTTCTAAGTATAAGTGCTGAAAACTAAGCATAGATGAGTAGTTCTCTAACTAGCGCCTATAAAAGATATTCAAACCTCACATCTCTCAAACCATAGTGTATATACCCCACCAAGATAAAACAGAATCACATAAGAGTTTGTGAATGAGTATTTGGAACAGCAATTGACTGCTCATATACACTTCTCTTGCCACAGTAATGGGAATCTTGTATATGACAGTTTAAGCAATGTCAGTATTAATAGTGAATCAAAATAACATGGCTTATGAAATTGTATTCATGTGTTGGAAAATACTATATACATGACAAGTGATATGTTTATTTATATATATGTACATATATATAAATGACAAGTGCTAAGAACAGAATAGTATCTTCTGAGCCCTTAATAGACCCATTGCTAGTTTCAATTCTGTTTTTAATAATGCTCCTAAGTATTTTCTTTATCTATAATGCTATCATCTCTACTCTATCACAGTGCAAATATATTCAAGTGTCTGTCATTCCTTAGCATTCTGATGTTGTGAATACAGCACTCTTGGGGGCAGGACTGGAAAATCTGGATTCCTTTTTGAAAACAAAGCCCATTGCCCAAACTAGTGCCCTGTTCCTCTGGCAAAGAAATACATTTTTGTTGCTCTCACCAATCTTGGACTCATATCTTCAGTGTTTAGGTATTTGTTCTTTGGTTGTTTTCTTTTTCCATTTTGAATTAAGGCATTGACTAATTCTTATATTTCCATGACTCGTTTCTTCACTCATTTCTATTCAAGTTTCAATTATGAAATGCTATTGAAAACTTTACTTATTCTCTTTTTGTTTTTCTTTTAAATTAATACAGGGCAATCTAGAGCAGCCATGATACCTCCTAAGCATCCACGGCAGGCCAAGGGAGCTTTGGATGATACAGTTGCCTTTGGGGGGAAAGCAGACCCAGAACCACCTAATGCTTCCCAACCCACACCACCCCCACTGCCAAAGAAGATGATCATAAGAGCCAATACAGAACCAATCTCCAAAGACCTCCAAAAATCCATGGAAAGTAGTCTATGTGTCATGGCTAATCCCACCTATGATATCGACCCCAACTGGGATGCCAGCAGTGCTGGCTCTTCCATCAGCTATGAACTCAAGGGACTGGACATTGAGTCTTATGACTCCTTGGAGAGACCTTTGCACAAAGAGAGACCTGTCCCCTCAGCAGCAAATAGCATCTCCAGCTTAACCACTCTCAGTATTAAGGATAGATTTTCCAACAGCATGGAATCCTTGTCCAGCCGACGTGGTCCCTCTCATAGGCAGAGCCGAGGCATTCAAAAGCCACAGAGACAAGCACTATATCGAGGACTCGAGAATCGGGAGGAAGTGGTGGGTAAAATCCGAAGCCTTCATACAGATGCCTTGAAGAAACTGGCCGTTAAATGCGAAGACCTCTTCATGGCAGGACAGAAGGACCAGCTCCGTTTGGGGGTGGACAGTTGGTCAGACTTCAGGCTAACCAGCGACAAACCATGTTGTGAGGCAGGTGATGCAGTTTACTATACTGCTTCATATGCAAAAGATCCACTTAATAACTATGCCGTCAAGGTAAGAAAATAATGTAAATCTCATTTTAATCTTATGAGGATGGATCCATTCTCCTTTCCTCCTTTCTTTCCTCCATTCAGCAAGTTACTGAGTATCTACCTTACCCCATATACTATGATAAGCAAGGGGCTTATTTATTATTTAGAGGAGGAAACACATGTAAAGAGACAGTTACAACAGCATACTGCATGCTGAGATATAGGTAAACAAAAATCCTATGGGAGTTTGGAAAGACCTTGAATCAAACTCTAGAAGTCAAAAAAGTCATCTTAAAGTAGGTAAACCTTGAGCTGCAGCTGTTTCCAAGGGCTACCTGTAACCACATTTACATCTTTATCTTCTACCAAGTAAGAGGCTCTTATCTAACTATCCCTCCTCAGGTTTCTAGAGAAACATTTTTACAGAGGGAGATAATTAATATTTTTTTATATGCCAGGAACTTTGTTGTATAATTTGATCTTCACATCAATTTTATGAGGTTAAAATCTTTTTCTCCATTTGATAGATGAGGAAAATGAAGGCTCAGAGAAGTAAACTAACTTATTTAGGGTCACACAAATGGCAAGCAGTAGTGTTAAAAACAGGTATCTCTGACTTCATAGTTGTACTTTGTCCATTAGGTCACTTATTAATTTCTTACATGTGTATTGCTCATTCTAGACAACCCAATACTTTAAGACAGCTAAAACTCTTGACCTCAAGAATTCTTGCCCAGGATGGCACCTGTGGCTCAAAGAAGTAGGGTGCAGGCCCCATATGCCAGAGAGTGGTAGGTTTGAACCCAGCCCCAGCCAAAAACTGCAAAAAAAAAAAAAAAAAAAAAATTCTTGCCCAGTTATATTTACCATAGCAATAAGCCGTAAGTTTCATTGGTGTAATTAATAAGATATGGACTTTTTTTCTTTTTTGAGACAGTTTCACTCTATTGCTCAAGCAAACAATCTTCTGGGTTCAAGTGATCTTCCGGCCTTGGCCTTCTGAATAGCTGAGACTATAAGCACATTTTATAATGCCTGGCTAATTTTTCTATTTGTGTGTGTGTGTGTATATAGATGGAGGTCTCACTCTTGAGCTGTCTGGTCTCAAATTCCTGAGCTCAAGCAACTTCACCTGTCTTGGCCTCCCAGAGTGCTAGGATTACAGATGTGAGCCACTACTCCCAGCCCCATTAAGTATGGACTTTTAAGTCCAAAAGATTGGGGTTCTGATCATAGCTCTGCCACTCAGTAGCTTTGTCAATAATAGTGAGTGAGATATTATGCTTTTGTTTGAGTAAAAAAGAACAAAATGTCTCTGATAAGTGTTCATTTCTTTCACTATCCACTACTTCTTCCCTAGGTTACTTTAAGAGAGTAACAACAATCTTTGAACCTCAATTTCCTCTACTTTCAGATGTTTACAATGATAATCCATCTATTTTATGGGGTTGAGATAAGGATCAAGTGAGATAATGCATGTGAAAGGGTTTTGAAAAATATGAAGCTCTATGTAGACTTAATGTAACATTCTCTGTTCCCATAGTCCCTTTTTACTAATTCTATTCACTGGTTCAAAACCAATTAACATATCTAAATGACTTTTACATGTTAATTTGGCTTAGAAGAACCAGATGGTATCTTAGTAAATTAATGGCTAAGGTAAAAGATTGGCGTTACCTGTCTATCTAGACAAAATGTATGTTTGGAACAGACCTTCAACTAGCTGTTCTCTGCAGTTGCAGCATCTATACTACTTGACAGTATGGTGGCCCTGGCAAAGTGACCCTGTGCTCCAGCCCACACTTTTAAAATTAAACTGAGGGGTAAACTGCAGAGTGGGGATCTGGATTTGAGTTAATACATTACTATTGAGTCTAACAAGGAAGGCATTTTGAGATTCTGTATACCACTTGAGAGCTGTTACATCAATTGGGGTTATGGTACCTTATCTATCTTGGGCCTTTATTGTTACAAGATCACCAATGCAAGATGAGTGCCTATTTCAGAAAAGGGCATTGAACTATCTGTTCTTTCAGAACAATTGAGAAGTAGTGCTTGACTAACTTTATGTATTATTGCCACGCAATCTTGTCTCTTCTCCCAAATCAATGGTCTAGTATTGATTCTTTGCTTGTAATGATGCAAAAGCAATCTCCAAAGAACAGGTGGCCAGTGGTTATATACTGGGGGTTGTTGGCAGGTTTGGGAAAGGATGTTTTATACTAAATACTGAATATAAATGTCTTTTTAAAGACCCTCTTGTGTTTCTAAAAGTACCCAGTTGATTGTACAACCGTAGAGGAACAATGTACTAAACTGCCAAGGCTCTGTGAACCCCATCTTCACAAGGGTGAGCACAAAAATTCTTTTCTGTTTATGTTCTTAAAATATCCCTTCCAGGCTCGGCGCCTGTGGCTCAAGTGGCTAAGGCACCAGCCATGTACACCCAAGGTGGCAGGTTCGAATCCAACCCAGGCCCACCAAACAACAATGATGGCTGCAACCAAAAAATAGCCGGGCGTTGTGGCGGCCGCCTGTGGTCCCAGCTACTTGGGAGGC